GTATAAATTGGTCCAGCCTTTTTGGAAAGCAGTTTGGCATTTTATATTGATTAAAATATGTGTACTTCCTAGTACCATGATCGTAGTCTCTAAATGCCATTTCTCATTAAATGGAACCGTAGTCCCTTAGAGAAATGGCTGATTCCAGACCTGAGATATCTTGTGACAGAAAGCAAAAAAGCTATCCAAAAAAAAAAAAATACCGCATGCCAACACATATATATGGAATTTTAAAAAAAAGGTTCTGAAGAACCTAGGGGCAGGACAGGAATAAAGACACAGACATAGAGAATGGACCTGAAGACAGGGGGAGGGAGAAGGGTAAGCTGGGACAAAGTGAGAGAGTGGCATGGACATACATACACTACCAAACGTAAAATAAATAGCTAGTGGGAAGTAGCTGCATAGCACAGGGAGATCAGCTCCTGCTTTGTGACCACCTAGAAGGGTGGGACAGGGTGGGTGGGAGGGAGACGCAAGAGGGAGGGGATATGGGGATATATGTATATGTATAGATGATTCACTTTGTTATACAGCAGAAACTAACACACCATTGTAAAGCAAAAAAAAATCTGTCACTTCGGTAGTTGCTAGGATACAACTCATCATTCTGAATACTAGTAATTAAAGAAAAAGAATCAAGCATTTATCTGCCTGCTTATACTAACTGTAGTTCAGGATAACCCAAGAACTGATGAGTAAAATTTCTTCTTTATGAAAGCGCTCTAGCCGGAAAATGCAGTAGGAATGATAGAATTAGAAGATTGTTATTTTTACAACTACTACCCCCACCCCACCCCGCCCCAGAGAAACAGTGGCCTTAGCCCAGTGGTCTCAAATGAATTGTGGTCAGAACAGGTGTTTTGTTTTAAACTTCTAACTATTGAGGAGTGATGCTCTTGTAAAATGCAGTAAAATGTTGCAGCAATGTTAAATTGCTGTAAAAGTTTCTAAACTTTTGCACTTTCAATTTTTGTACTTACCATGAATTGTTAAAAAACCACTGGGAACTGGCACCACCACAGCTGAATGTAGCACTGGTCTAGACAACGATTGTGAGTGAATGCCAAAACTGTTAAGTGAAAGTGAGGAGCTTTAAAATGGATGGAAACACCCAAACCCACTTATAAATCTAAGCATCACTAAACGTGAACAATCAGACATTGTTTGTCTCCTTATGTGATGCAGTAGGAACTTCATAGCACCACGTATGAATTATCTCCCCCGACACCCCACCAAAATTGAACCTGAATCAAATCAGGCTTCTAGAACTGACTACTGCTTTGCCAGGAATGGAAGGGGGTGAGTTAAATGACACCACCACATGGAAGGCATCAGCCAGATTCCAGAATGTGGGAACTACTATAGGACAAGTGACACAATTTATTTAACTTTAACCAATAAATGTCATTAATGAAGAGGGAGGGAGCACTACATAGAGACATAAAAGACACCTGAATCAAATACAGAGTGTAGGGGTTGTTTGATTCTGATTCAAACAGATTTTTTTTTTTTTTTTTTTCTTGCGTTATGCGGGCCTCTCACTGTTGTGGCCTCTCCCATTTGCGGAGCACAGGCTCCGGACGCGCAGGCTCAGCGGCCATGGCTCACGGGCCCAGCCGCTCCGCGGCATGTGGGATCCTCCCGAAACGGGGCACGAACCCGCGTCTCCTGCATCGGCAGGCGGACTCTCAAGCACTGCGCCACCAGGGAAGCCCTGATTCAAACAGATTTTAAGACAATTGGGGAAATGTGAAGATGGGCCATTGAGATTATGCACTTTTAAAAAGACTTATTTGTTAGAAATACATACTGAATTATTTCAGATAAGTGTTTGCTTTAAAATAATCCAGTGTTTCAGGGTGGGGCAAGAGGGGTGGAGAATAGATTAAATAAAATAGGCAAAATATTGATAATTATTAAAACCTGGTAATAAGTGTCAAACATAAAGCCAGACATTAGCTGTAGTGGTGAAAACAGGTTTTATTCACTAACTGCTGACAGTAGGAATACGAGCTGAGCTCCATCGCGATTTGTGCTGAGGTGACTGGCGTTTTAAAGGGCAATGCGGGAGTAAGGAAGGGAGTACAAGCTAGGGCTCAAGTGAAAACTTACTAAAGGTTAATCAGTGTGAATGCCCATGAGGCCAGCTGTGTGTGCTGGCTGGCAGTCATCAAGTTAGGATTCTGTCCTCCCACAGAGACTGGAGGACAGAGACCCTGTCCTTCCTGATGATTACCTTTCAAAAGAATGGCTTTCAGGTTTTTGAGAAAAATATTTCTGAGTTATAGAAACATATACATCTCAGAGAGACCTAGGAAAGATTCTTAATTTTAAGACCTTAGTAAATGTTCTAAGAAAGGTCAGGGGCTTGTCTTTAGGTGTTGGCTAGAAGAAACAGCCTTGAGCTTTCTCAGGGAGGCATTTTGTTGAGAGACTGGGGTTATCCTAGAGACATGCATGTCCTTATGCTGCTAGAAGCCTTGCTAGAGTTTGGTTATCACTCAGCGCAGAGGGTTGGACAGAGTCATTATGTGCTGGGAGTTCTGGAGTTCTTACAAGTACATGAGGGTCCAGTATATCAGTCTTTATGAGAAAAGAATACTCTTAAGTGTATGTTTGAAAGTTTTTTAATAAGTTATTCTTAATGTATATTCCCCTTGACCAAGTAATTCCTCTTAAAGGAATGTATCTTAAGGTAATAATCAGAAATTTGCAGGGCCTCCCTGGTGGCACAGTGGTTGAGACTCCGCCTGCCAATGCAGGGGACACGGGTTCGTGACCCGGGCCGGAAGATCCCACGTGCCGCAAAGCAGCTGGGCCTGTGAGCCATGGCCGCTGAGCCTGCGCGTCCGGAGCCTGTGCTCTGCAGCAGGAGAGGCCACAACAGTGAGAGGCCCGCGTACTGCAAAAAAAAAAAGAAAAAGAAGAAGAAAGAAAGAAATTTGGTCAAGGACTTATGTACGAGGATATTCATCAAAGTAGTAACACAGAGAAAAATTGGAAACAAATATATCCAACATTAAAATATTTATAAATTATAGGACATCCTTTCACCTACTAGATTATCAGAAATCCGGAAGCATCAAGAGCCTCTGTGAAAGCAGGCACTCTCATAAATTGCTGGAGAGGCTGACCCCATGGAGAGCAATTAGGCAATCTTAACAAAATTACTAATCCATTTACCCTGTGACCTAGCATTCCAGTTTCTGGGATATCTTCACATGTATGAAATTATTATATATGAGGTTTTTCATTACATCATGATTTGTAGTAGCAAAAGATTGAAAACAATAAAGACTAGTTATATAAATTGTGGAATTTATGTAGAGGATTACTATACAGCTGAAAAAAGAAGGGCACCTCATATCTGCATTCAGTATGGTACTAACTAGCTACATGTGGTTATTTAAATTTGAATTACTTAAAATGAAATTTAAAATTCAGTTCTTTGGTCGCAGTAGCCACATTTAAAGGTATTCAGTAGCCACATGTGGCCAGTGGCTATGCCATTGGACAGCACAGATATAGAACATTTCCATCAATGCAGAAAGTTCTGTTGGACAGTGCTGCTTTATATAGTGAGTATAAAAATTTTTCTAAAATGCCTATATTACTTTTATAATAAATAACAGATACCTAGAGATAGATTGAAAATATTAGGTAACAAAACAGGTTTTTTTTTGTGTGTGAAAGTTTAAAACCTGAGTTTGGAACACATAGAATCTTCACAGATTTTTTTTCTTAAAGTCAATAACCTCTCCATTTTCTCCTGTAGTTTACCATTTTCAGATGTGTATGAGACCAGGTGGGTTACATATTATGGGGAAAGTTCACTTGGTACAGTTGTTGAAGGCAAAAAGAAAAAAACACAGCATAAAAGATTCTTAATTAATTATTTTTTTACCTAGCCTTTACTCTTTTTTGCTTGAACCAAGCTTGTCTGAAGACATAACCTTCCTCAGGACTTTATTGAACTCATGTACTACATGAACTCTAAATTTGCTAGGTGCTATTGGTGTAGATGTGGCAAAAAGTTACCACTGTAATCACAGCTTTCTGGAATACTCTGGAATTAGACTGTGATATAATAAAGATACTTGCTTTGTCTGGGTCCCCAGCACACAGCTTCTAAAACCTTTGGAATCTTCTGAGTGGTAGGAGTGTCTTTGGCGTGCAAATGAGATGACTTGGTGAGGCGCTCCTAGTTAACTTAAGGATGGGGTTTGGACTCCAGAAAGACAACCTTGGTTAGAAGCCTAAAACTTTCAGCCCTACCTCCCAACCTCCAGGGCGGGGAGAAGGGCTGCAGGTGGAGATAATCACCAGTGGCCAATGATTTAATCATTCATGCTTAAGCAGTTAAACCTCCATAAAAAACTAAACAACTGGGCTCCTGGAGCTGCCTGGTTGGTGGACAGTTTGAGGTGCTGGAAGGGTGGTGCATTTAGAGAGGGCATGGAAACTCCATGCCCCTTCTTACCTACCTTGCCCCATGCATCTCTTCCATTTGGCTCTTCCTGGGTGTATCTTTTATTATAAACTGGTAATAGTAATTAAACTGCCTTCCTGAGTTCTGAGTCTTTCCAGCACATTATCAGAGAGAAAGGGGTTGTCAAGAGTGTGGGTGACCTGGAAACTGCATTTGGCATCTGGCATGGGGACAGTCTTATGGGACTGAGCCCTTTAACTTGTGGAATCTGTTGCTGACTCCAGGTCAATAGTGTCAGAATTGAACTGAATTATTGGACACCCAGTTGAAGAAGTGGTGCTGGAAAAAACACCACATATTTGACGTCCAGAAAAAAAAAAACCCTTCAGGTATAACTTTATGTGGCTGCAGAACATAGTAAGATGTTGATTTCAGAGTCTGGCTTATTTTAGTGTTGTCTAAGAAGAAGCTAATAGGAGTTAAATACCACCTTAGTGTGCAGTGTTTTTTAAAAAATGGGGATTGTGCTATACATTTGAGATACTAATAAATAATTAATTTTAAACAGATCTACAGAAAATAAGGAAATTCCCCCTCTGGAAAATAAAGTTGCAGACTTCAGAGAAAAAGAATCATCTTCAAATTTACCTTACCAAAAGCATCACTGCTCTAGTGCCTGTCTGATGAAAATGCCACTTACCTTCAAGGGAGAAAACCCTCTACAGCTACCAGTCAAATGCCACTTCCAAAGACGACATGCAAAGACAAACTCTCATTCTTCAGCACTCCACGTGAGTTATAAAACCCCTTGTGGAAGGAGTCTACGAAACGTGGAGGAAGTTTTTCGTTACCTGCTTGAGACAGAGTGTAACTTTCTATTTACAGATAACTTTTCTTTCAATACCTATGTTCAGTTGACTCGGAATTACCCAAGGCAAGAAGAAATTGTTTCTGATACGGATATTAGCAATGGAGTGGAATCAGTGCCCATTTCTTTCTGTAATGAAATTGACAATAGAAAGCTTCCACAGTTTAAGTACAGAAAGACTATGTGGCCACGAGCATATTATTTAAACAGCTTTTCCAACATGTTTACTGATTCATGTGACTGTTCTGAGGGCTGCATAGACATGTGAGTAGAAAAACATGGCATTTCAAAAAAATCTTCTGAATGTAGAGGTACTTGTCAAGAAGTCCTGCTGTGTATCAGTTTGTCTGTCTATCTAAAACCAGTTCATCGAGAATCTAAAATAGAAAGATGCATCTCATTAGCAATAGGAAAGAAAACTCTTTGCCAGTTATTTTAGTAATTTGGGAATTATTTCTTCCAAGGATAAGTATTCCCTTTAATCTAGTACCATACTCCTAATAGCAGCAATTACAGCTAATGCTATGGAACTGTGCCAAACACTGTGACAAGTGCTTTACATATATTTTCTTGTTTAGTTCTCACAAAACCCCATGGGGTAGGTAATATTACTTCCATGTTACAAATGAGGAAGTTGAGAAGACAAGTGTAAGGTCAACAAATTTAAGAACCAGGATTTGAACCCATGCTCTTAACCATTATGTTATATGTTGTATTTTACTTTTGCAAATCATTTCCTTGCTACTTTTTTTAGAAAGTTAATGGTGCCTCTCCTGATCATAAAATTGACATTCCATAAAAAAAAATGAAAACATGTTCTAATATATTAAGACTTTGGAAACGATTTTTTTTCAGGGTGTGTAATTTATTGGTATTTGTAGGTTTGCATATGTAGAGCGGAGTTGCATTATATGTACATTTAATTTAATGCAAATTTAGCTGCCTGTACTAGGAAAAAGAAAAAGCATGAGAGAGATAAAGAGAAATAATTTAAATTATATACATAGTTTTCACCATCCTCTGAGAAGGAGTGTGAGATGAGATATCCATCTGCTGTTACCTCAATTTGGCTCAGTTCCTTTAGATCTGTCATAGAGGAAACCTCTCACTGTGCCAAATTTTATTCTGTTTAAATATAAGTTGTTGTTTTTTCAGCATTGCCTCTAAACGTAACCCATCTACATCTGGCCAAGCCCAATCTCTTTCAGTGATGGAGGAAAAAAACTAACTGTTGGACAGTGTTTACTGTACTTTATGGTCAGTTTAATGGAGTTTTTTAAAGAATAATTTTGACTGTATGTGATTTTTGCCTTAGACTGTAGAAAGTAGCCCCCATGTAACATGCACCACCAGCATATATATTTTCATCTATTGGTCAGAAATTACAAGAGAAGTCACAAAATAAGCAAAAGCTGAAGCCCACTGGGATCTGGAATTGGAGCATTATTCAGAGATAATAGCTGAGAATTTTCCAGAATTGAAGACAAGAGTCTTCAGAGTGAAAAAGCCTACTGTATACTAGAAATGGAAAATAAGATAACTATATCTAAATATATCATGAGGCAACTTAAAAAGTATCTAGGGCAAAGAGTAAATCTCACACTATCAGATAGAAAAGAGGAAAAATAGATTGACATCACACTTCTCATCAGAAAGAAGACAAAAAGGAGGCATATTAGCTTAAAATGCTGATGGAAAATAAAGGTAAAACTAGAATTCTGTACCAACCCAGATGGTCATTTGTGGGGAGGGAGGAGGGTCCTCACACAATTACACAGCAGTTGAAGACATGAATAATTGCTTTCTAGTAATAGTACTTTTAAGTCTATCTAGAGCATTGTTTTTCAAGCTACAGGTTTAGTAGGATGTAAAATCACTTGTAAGTAGCATTTTAAAAATTAAATCATACAGAAGGTACCCACGTGCATCACACATGATAAGGTACTTTCATGCCACTGTTATTTCTGCTTGTATGCATACATATATAAATATGCATGCCTCTGTAGGATCGTGAAGAAAATATATTTCTTACTGTGAGTCATAGTCAAAAATATTTGAAAGCTACTACCCTAGAGATGCTTACACATGTGCATAAGAATAAGGATGTTGTAGCATTTTTGGTGTATTGAAAACTAGAAGCAACTTAATTGTATACCAAGCAACTTAATTGTAATCTAAATGCTGTGGAAAAGTTAAAAGGAAATAACTAGATTTGTATATAACACAGATGGGTCTCAAAAACATATTGAATGAAAAAAGTTGTAGGATAATAACTATAGTACTTTTTAAAAAAACAATACAATATATTGTTTGTAGGTAAATATGTATGTAAAAAGTATAAAGGATGCCTCACCAAACCTCTTGAGAGTTTAGTTTTATCTGTAATGCTTTTTTTTTTTTAAGGAAGATCATATATACAGTATATATGTTTTAAATTACAGTTGGCCCTTGAACAATGCAGGGGTTAGAGCTGCTGACCCTCCATGCAGTAGAAAATATAACATATAACATAGTTGGCCCTCCATATAAGCGGTTCCACATCTGTAGTTCCACATCCGAGCATTCAACCAACCGTGAATCATGTAGTACTGTGGTATTTACTCTTGAAAAAAATCCATGTATAAGTTGACCCATGCAGTTCAAACTCATATTGTTCAAGGGTCAAATAAAAGGACTAGACAAAATGATGACAGCTAATTCTATATGGTCAAAATATGAGTGTTTATTGTATTATTGTTTGTGTTTTTCTGTACTTTTTAAACTTTGCAAAGAAAGTCATACTAAAAAAAGCAACAGTAGATTTCTACATCTGTAAATAGAATCCAAATTAATGAATTTATTGCTTGTTTTTTTCTGTTGCAAACAGTAGTTACCACTCTGACATGTATTGTGTATATACAGAAAAATGCAGAAGCAAATCATAGAGGAAAAGACCTTAAAGTCACTTACAATTCAACATACGAGACAGGATTCAGAGATTTTAACCAGCTTACCAGTGGTTACATACCTGGTTTATAGCCAGGATTCAGAGATTTTAACCAGCTTAACAGTAGTTACATACCTAGTTTATAGCCGAGATAACCAGGTTCTTTACTCCCTATCGAGTTATAAGTCCCTGTCATGTTAGATAGTTATCTAAATAGTTAGAGGGAAAATTTTTTTTTTTTTGCAGTACGCGGGCCTCTCCCGTTGCGGAGCACAGGCTCCGGACGCGCAGGCTCAGCGGCCATGGCTCACGGGCCTAGCTGCTCCGTGGCATGTGGGATCTTCCCGGACCGGGGCACGAACCCGTGTCCCCTGCATCGGCAGGTGGACTCTCAACCACTGTACCACCAGGGAAGCCCGGGAAAATTTTTTTATGGTTGCATGTTTACTGCTTAGCAATGTTATGAAAAACAGATTGTAGTAGCCAGATACCCAGCATCAGTCTCCCCAATTTATTTTCATGTCACTGGAGGGAGAGATAATACAAGACATAGGCAAAACTATATATGGCCTTTTGAGTTTGACACATATAAGTTTATCCATTGTAAGAGAGCAGACAGGAGAATTTTTACAAAGAAGGTTTTGCAGAACAGGAAATGAATTCATTTTGAAAAGTTAGAGAAAACTCATAAAGTCAAGTATTTATTTCATGAGCAAATAGAGGTACAGGGCAGTTTATAATTATTTATAAACTTTTGGTAGATGTTGTCTTTCAAAGAGGTCTTTTTTATTTAGGGAAGAAGTCTAACAGTCCATGAACCAAACAACTATTCTAAATAAAATTACATCCTTTACACTTTTGTCAAGACAGTCTCTTAATTTGGTGCTTTTTTATTCTGACTTCTCCATCCATTGCCTTTTAGAACAAAATGTGCATGTCTTCAACTGACAGCAAGGAATGCCAAGACTTGCCCCTTGTTAAGTAGTAAAATAACCACTGGATATAAATATAAAAGACTACAGAGACAGATACCTACTGGGTAAGATACCTTGAGGATCCATTGCAGGGTGTTTATATCTTTGAAGAAGGGTAATTTATCATTGTGGCCTGTAGTCTTATAGATGTTGTTAAATCTTAATTTCTTATACCAAAAATCTAAATTAAGGAATTAAAAAAACAAACCTGTATATTGTTCTTGGAAATGGAAGTCAGAGAGCACACATGTAACATGAAGACTGTATCTAACACTCATCTGC